CTCACTCTGGATAATAAATTTCAAACATATACCTCTCATTTTAGCTAAACTTGGATTGATATAAAAGTAATGTGCGATGTATTTATGTCTATAATTAGTTATCGTAGCATTATTACATTGAAAAAGATAGTGGTATTCATCCCCAATACCATTATTACATAGCAAACAATTACAATTATTATGTGGTACAGTATACCAACCCATCTACCAGTTTCAATGTGTAATTTTAAGTTCGACATTCTAAATTTGCTGATAATTATACGTTTGCTGGAATTAAGCGTAACTAGATATGATTCAAAATTAAACTGGTTTTTAAAGATACAGTAGAACTGTCCACTAGACGAAGAGTCAATAGTAGAGAACCAATTGATCACATAAACGTTTTTTAAGCAAATTTTTGAAGAGTGATCTATTCATTGTACATGTGTTTTGTAATATCCAAATATTAGTAAACCCTGTGTTATTAAGTAATGATGTTATATATATCCAAGCCATTTACATTCTGCAGTATCATTTTCTTGCATTTTTAGTATAAGGCGATATAATACACTAGATAGCTTATCTCCTCCTGTTATTAAATTTATGCCAAAACATTAGCATTCTAACTTTAATTTCTATTTCTAATGGAAATTTGCCCAGTTCGCCATACACCATAAAATTTGGTGTACTAGTTCGATTATGTAAAATTTTCTTACAAAATTGCAGATGAATATTTTCAAGGATACTTACATTTTCAAATCCCCAGATTTCACATGCATAGAGTAAAATTGGAAATACTAGCGAATCAAACAATTCAAGTTGTAAGTCAATGGATAAAGGAATATTTCTTATTTTGGTATACACTGCAAACAATGCTTTCTCTGCCTGGTTAGCTAACTGTTTGTTTCTTTGTTTTAACGAATGATCCATTATAATAAAACAATATTCCGAGATAAGGGTAAGAATCATCACGAGTTATTGGATCATCAAATAGAGTCAAATTAAATCGCCGTCTGCTTTTCCGTTTTTCAAAAATTACTATTTTTGTCTTTTTGGTATTGATAGTCAATTTCCAGTTTTCACAATAATTTTGAAAACAATTAAGTGTATTCTGCAAACCTTCAGGTGATTCTGACATCAACACAGTATCATCTGCATATAAAATAACAAATAATTTCACATACATACCAAGGTTATTTTCACATAAACTGTCAATTTCTTGCAAACATGATACGTACATTATTTTGTTGAAGATACTCTTCTAAATCGTTTAGAAATATAGAAAACAAAAATGGTAACACATTTTTCGCCCTGTTTTAAACCAACACTGCACATAAAAAATTCAGATATATCATTTCCATTATGAACACAAGATTTTGTGTTTTCATATAAATTATGTATTACTTTGAAAACTTTTCCTGTTAGTGAAAAGGATTGCATTTTTATCCATAAACCGGCTTTTTGTTTTTGTTTTTGTTTATATAGAGATAAGAATATGTAGTGGTTGAATACCCCTTTCTAAACCCGGCTTGTACTTGTGATATAAGATTAATTTCATCTGCTAATACAGTTAATCTATTATTAAATATAGATGTAAATAACTTGCCTAGACATGAAACTAATGTGATTGCTCTCTAATTATCAAGATCCTGTTTATCACCTTTGTTTTTGTAGATAGGTTTTATAATTCCTACTGTCCAATCTGTCAGACTAAACCTGTGTTAAGTACAATATTAAAAAAAATCGAATAAACTGGAAGAAATGTTTGTAGAGTATGTTTAATATGTTCATTTACAATTCCATCTACACCACCAGCCTTATTACTCTTTAATCTATATACAGCTTCTTTAATTTCATCTTCAGTTATTGTGTCATTTAATATTTGATATATTGCATTGTCATGTATATCAGTAATTAAAATCTCGTCTTCCTCCTCCTAAGGTTTATAAAATAGCTAAACAGTTTCTGTATTGTTAGATCAACTTTATTTGTTTGATCGTTACCCGATAGTTTATTTAAAATTTCCTAAAGATATTTTGGATCGTGTTTAACCGAGTTTCTTATGTTATCTTCCATACTGTTAAGATACTTTTTGAAACATTTATTCATTTCTTTTTCATATTGTTTACTTTTTTTGTCTTCAACTTTTTCCTATTTACTTCATTCTCAACCCTGCTATATTCCTTTTTCGATACATGGAATTCTTTCCTTAACTTATCACATTGTTTAGTATACCGTGGTTTGTTGTTTCTTTTCCTATTCTTGTTAATGCATTTTTGTTTTTTACCAAATATATTAGAAGCGGAAGATGTAAAAATATGGCTAATTTTGTGAATAACATCATCTATTTCAGCTCGGGAGATTTGGTCAGTTGGTTTATTAACTAATCAATCTAATACATTATTTAATGAATCCCTATTTTCATTGTGTTCATTAATAATATAATCTACAAAATATTTTTTTAATTCATTTTTCCAATTTTTATAATAATCATTTACTATGTTTGCATTAGATAGATCGTATACTTTGTTACCATTTATCGATGACCCACAAATGGTAAACTCAATGCGACAATGCACATCCGAGAGCACAGGATCGAAGTCAGAAACTTCAAATTCATTGATACAACGGAATAATTCTCAAGATACCAAAAGATAATCTATCAATGATGAATTATTACATGTAGTTATTCCTATATACTGGTCCTTTCCAATTCTACCATTGGCAATATAAATATTGTTTTGCTGACAAAACTCGATTAGTTTGTTTCCAAAATTATTCACTCTCGAAGTACATTGACTTTACCTAACTAGAGGTATATTAATTACATTTAATTTTTCGAAGTCATACATTACATCAAATAAATACTCATTTTCATCAATATTTAGTACATCAACAAGGCTATTGTCTGGTTCAATAAAATCTGGTCTCTGTTGCGTCTTAGAATTATAATCTCCAATTAACGCTACCTGTGTATTGTCATTACAAAAAATTAATCATTTCTCGCTCTAACTCAGAAAAACCATCAACAGTTGAGTACCTGGAACTGGAAGTCTCAGGTGGGATATATACATTACCCAGAAGTATATCATAATCAAGGTTTAACAGTGATTTTGACAGTATTACCCATTGTACATATTCAGAATTAATTTTTGGGAAATTTAATGAGTGCTCAATACTTTTCTTGTTGACTATAACAATACCACCAGATATTCTTTTACAGTTAGATCGATGTTAAATATAGTATGAGTACCCTTCCGGTAACTTTAGAACATCTAATTCGTCAGTTTTACTCTCTAGAAAAACTAGTAAATCAAATGAAACAATAAGTTGCTCAAATGTTGTTAGAATCAATTTTGACTTTAGACCACAAACATTTAAAAATGTGACTTTTAGGGTAGAATTACAAAGTTCATTACGATTAGTGGAACCTCTTGTTTTACATCCCTAAGTTGAGGGGATGGCTGAAGCTGACCATTTATATATAATTTGTCCTCCTTAAGACATGCTGATTGTCCTCGCCATTTGGCCTCCTTGAACATTGGATAAAGAACTTTTCTCCGTTCGTTGATCTCTGGGGGGAATTGTTCATACACAGAGAACTGTTTTTTATCTGCCAATTTTCCAAGGACTGTATTTATAACCTTCTCACGATCCCTCCTGTTACAAAACTTGCCCACAATGGACCTAGGTCTACCATCGGTTCTTGGTCGCAGCCTATGAAACACTTGGAAGGGGATTTCGTCATGAACTTCGAGAACATTGCCATTTTGGCACTCACAGCTAGCATTCAACAATTCTAGCACTGCCCAAAGATGTACTCATTTACAGCTAAGTAGACTGGAACAAGCGGAGTAAAGTATCTTGTTCAAATATATGTAAAGTATCTTGTTCAAAGATACAACACAGTGCTGTGACTTATCAGCAATGTGTAATAGATGAATGTGACCTTTAATTACTTGGATCATTAACATATCTCAGATCTATAATTATGTAGAAGTTCCTGGTTCTCCCAATGCTTATCAAGTCTGTATATACAGTCTTAATTATTATACAAATTTTGTAGACTTCCTATCAACATTTTACTGTTTACAAGTTGACAGAATAGACTTAGTTAATATAATCTGTCTTTAATAATAGATACTTCATGGTTTTAACCCTTTCACCAATAGCTGTAGACCATAATAGACTCATCCATATCAATGCATGGAAAAGTCTACTTAAGTTACATAGGGGTGAAAGGGTTAAGGTTTAATACTCACATAAACATTGTACATATTGAGGTAAATACATCATATAAAGGGGAGAGCGTGTTTGATACCGTGTGACATTAACAGGTATATGTACTACAGGTGGGACAGGTAAATATATATAGCTGTACATAATAAATAGCTGTACATATATATATATATGTGTATCAATTTATTATAAAATGTCATTTTTCACACCTCAGATCCTGATTGGCTGGAACTGTGTCATGTGATTCCCGATACAAAATTATATCGACAGATTGGTAAAAAATAGGTTGGTTGACTGGGTGTTTCTAAAATAAGATTGATAAGCATTGCAATTTGTTAAAAAAGTCAATGATTTCAGTGTGTTGTGTTCTTTTATTGCAGTTTACACACTTACATTCCTTGATATTGAAAAAGATATAATTTTATGATAAAACTATGTTAGCCATTTCTTCGTCCTAGGTCATTTTTTTTTTCTCAGGTAGAGAAAACCAGGTATCAACTTTACTAAAAGGTTTTTGTTATATCATATCAAATGTTCCACATACATGTACATATTGAATCCCTGTGATGTATTACAAAGGGTTCATGTTCAGTAACTGAAGTCGAACCTCTCAACTGTCCACACAACACTTGTACATGTACATATATATATCATTAATGTACTAGATGGGAAGAACTTTTGGGAATGTCCATATATGTATATATAGCAATGTGTAACTGTTGAGTGGAATATATTTAAAGAACCATCCCGTATTCAGTAAACATTCCACACAGTAACAGGGACCTGACCAGGATCTGACCCAGCTATCAGTGTTTAGATTATATCATATAGCTCACACAGACAGGAGCTGGATGTCCTTGTGTATGTTGTCAGTGTACCCTGACTGTATAATGCTCCCCTACACACTCCCCAGGAGGTAGTTGTGTATGACTTTAGACATATACAGGAGTAAGGACTGGCAGGATTTAACAACAAATACACAAGGCGGACGTTACTCATACTCAGTGTTAACCTGTGGAGGACAATGTGGACATGTACAGGGTTTGATACCATGTGACATTAACAGGTATGTACAGCAGGGAGAGGTGGGACAGGTAAACATATATAGACAAGTATAACAGAGGATTGCTAGGTATATATATCGCATGTAGAGTCCAATAGACAGGTCAATATATGGTAGAGTATTGACAAGTAAACATATAATACAGGAAATGAAGTAAGGGAAAGGTTGGTCAGGCATTCATCTAAGGTAGGGAGCGGTTTGTTATATTAAACAGAGGATTGGCAGAAAAAGATAACATGTACAAGACTGTATATAGAAAATGGACAGGTAAATATAACAGAGAATAGACAGGTAAATATAACAGAGAAAAGACAGGTAAATAAAACAGGAAGAGAAAAGACAGGTAAATATAACAGGTAGAGAATGGACAGGTAAATATAACAGGTAGAGAATGGACAGGTAAATATAACAGGTAGTGAGTGGACAGGTAAATATAACAGGTAGAGTATGGACAGGTAAATATAACAGGTAGAGAATGGACAGGTAAATATAACAGGTAGAGAATGGACAGGTAAATATAACAGGTAGAGTATAGACAGGTAAATATAACAGGTAGAGAATGGACAGGTAAATATAACAGATAGTGAGTGGATAGGTAAATATAACAGGTAGAGAATGGACAGGTAAATATAACAGGTACAGATTGGACAGGGAAATATAACAGGGAGAGTATGGACAGGTAAATATAACAGGTAGAGAATGGACAGGTAAATATAACAGGTAGAGTATGGACAGGTAAATATAACAGGTAGAGTATGGATAGGTAAATATAACAGGTAGAGTATGGACAGGTAAATATAAAAGGTACAGATTGGACAGGTAAATATAACAGGTAGAGTATGGACAGGTAAATATAACAGGTAGCGAGTGGACAGGTAAATATAACAGGTAGAGAATGGACAGGTAAATATAACAGGTACAGATTGGACAGGTAAATATAACAGGTAGAGTATGGACAGGTAAATATAACAGGTAGTGAGTGGACAGGTAAATATAACAGATAGTGAGTGGACAGGTAAATATAACAGAGAATAGACAGGTAATTATTACAAGTAGGGTATGGACAGTTAAATATTACAGGTAGAATTTGGACAGGTAAATGTAAGATAGCATGATGAGAACGGACAGGCAGATAAAGCGAAATTATTTAAATGTGACAGATGTTGTATTTTTATACCGTATTGACACTGTTTTGTTAGCTTTGTTTCCTTTGGCAAGATAATTTAACATTTATTCAGAGAGTAATGTTGAGTGTACTTTTTTCAGTTAAATATATTATAACCTACATGTATACATGTAACTAGTGTACCTGATTATAATATATGAGATATTGGACAAGAACACTATCGTGGACTTTCTGTAATATCATGGGTTTTCCCGTTTTAAACGGAAAGACATGTACACTTTATACTTCCTTGTATAACCACAGACACTGTGCAATGACGTAGGCACTGGGAGGACAACATAAATTCACTAATTCATACATTACTTTATCAATATCTCCCGAGGTTCGCATTCTCTAGAACAATTTACAATGTTGAAGGCGTGTCTATTAAATATAATCTTTATTTATTTATTCTACAACAATTGTGAAACAAGTTTTCTAACTTATATAAATCACTCGTGATGGCCTAGAGTGTAGAGTGTCTTAATGTGGGAGGAAACCGGAGTACCCTGGGAAATCATACGTGGTCGGACCATGAGAGTGGCTGAATACCTTCTCATATCTGATCGGGGATCGAGCCCAGGCCACTCTGGTGAAGGCAACCGCCTTTTCACTGTGCCACCCGACTTGATTTATAAAACTTCATCTCCTAACAACCGTTTATGTCCTAAATGATGTTACATAGATATTGAAGGTTTTTCTCATCTTACGATGAGATGATCAGTTTGATTCTTCTGACGTCTTTGTAAGTGAAAAATGCCCTAAAAGCTTTCTTTATAAACACTCGTTAAAGTTTAGGTTAACGAAACTTTGAACAAGCGAATCAAGCAGTCAACATTCTAAACATTTTCAAAGATATATTTACATTTCATTAGAATATTATCCTAATTTAAAACAAAATAATGCTAAAATCACATATCTAAGAACCAACATGATACACTAATTAAACACACATGACCTAATACCATTCATCATACATAGTTGAAGAATGCAGTAAAGCTTCCAAAAGTTTTTATAATGATCATATATTGAACCATATACAACTTTAGAACACACGGCCATCTATACAGTAGTGTGTTTTAAAAACCCATTCTTCTGTAAGCGATGGCTAACCAGACCACTGCCTCCATTGTGTTGTAAAGGGAGGAACGGCATACAATCCACCGATCGACTGACTTGAATTCTTTAAAACTGTCGTATTGATCACACATACGATCAATTTAATTTTAACAGCCCACATTTTAGTCGTAGACTTAAAACTATCAAAGCACAGGGGGCCGCAAAAGGGTCATGTACGAGTTCATATGCACAAAGACTCCCCTCTTATTGATGTATCAAGGGAGATACACACATTTATAGTCAGCACCTTTTTTATAAGAAACAAACATGAACACGGTAGTAGTGCTATTCTTGTGACACAGAGGTACGTTATAATAATCAAGCTTGTAATAAGAATTTTCCAGGTGTTTTTGTCTTGTGTTCTATCAAAACATTTTCGACCGTTTCACAGACGTTTAACGCTTCTATACTGCCCAGTAATTGTAATGCTGTACCAGGAAGTTCAACCCTACCGTATCATATTTCTACACTTAAGTCTTGTCCTTTCATCTGTATCTATTCCGACACCAATGAATGGACATGCATCCTTTACCAATGGCCATATAATGACACTTTACGTGGCAGAATCTGCATGCTGACGTTCTTTTGTGACTATGACCAGAATTAAAAGTGTAATTGAAATAACCCTGAATAGAACAGGGTCACGTTAAATGTTGTCTTGAGTGTTTCGAAAGTGTTTTGAGTTATTTAGACTATACACTGTTCGTACACCATCGATCGTTTGTTATTTTTATTCTATGGCCAATTGTTAATGAGTCATGTTTGCACCATGAACGCCAGTGTTTGTTAGATTTGAATTATTCAAAGAGGGAATCGGGAAAATAAAACTAGATATTTCCTAATGCGTTTAACATTTTATGTTTAATTTCAGGTATGAAAGCAAAGCTGGGCATTGTTTACTATAGAACACGGTCTTCCATCTTTATCAATCGTCGGGAGCTTCACGAATCACCAGGATGTAACGTACCTGATCGACGTTATAACACGTAGCAAACATGTTTTGCGACATCACAGCCTTCTTCTAGGATAAAGTGTATGACATCTACGTCAGACATCGTAGTGACGTCATGAGTGAGTCGTGTGAGGGAAACGAAATGACGTTTTACAGTCCTGATAAACCAGATGTTGAGTCAGGTGAAGACAAGGAGGATTCAACAAGCGACGTTCCTGGTCAGAAATATGTTGACGTCGTCGCTCCGGAGGACAACAAACCGAGCGATAAAAGTAAGTGTTTTGTACCTGTATACAAACATCACTTAATATAAAGACATTTAAGCAGTTTCGCAGTAAACCTCGGTAATGTTTCAGTAGTAATATAGTACAAAAGTTATATGTTGCTTGACATTATTGTTAAGGAACATTAACTTCTGCTCCAACTATTTTGAATGTAAACACGGTGAAATTTAATGCATCACGGTTCCAAAGCATCTAGTGAAATGTTTTACAATGACAATAATAAGAACCCAAACACTTTTACCGTTCATGAAACTTGATCAGGTTACTATTCTCCATTTTAATGTGAGGACACAAGAATTGTGCCATCCTTTATACCATCAACGTCTGTTTATGTGTATACCTGCAGTCCAGTGCACCAGGACACCTGCTTTGTATGTCTCCAATATACGGACTCATGTCTACTAATATTCAACACTGTCATGTAATATTGACAAGAGTCTTATTTTTATAATTATATATTATTTTTATATTTATATCTTATTTTTATATTTATATTCATATCTTGACACATATCATTTTGGCACATTCTTTCTGATATTGACACCTGTTATTGGCAGTGACACGTGTATTCTGAAATTATTATGTTGACACATGGATAATGATATTGACACATGTCACCTTGATACTGACGGATGCCTTTTAATATTTACACTGGTCCAATTATATTGACATTTTCTGTATTATTGATACATATTTCTAGTATTGCTATATCACTTGTGATATTGACCCGTCTTCTGATATTGACAACTGTCTTCTCTTGCCGTCACCTGTCATTTATATTGACATATGACCTTGTGTTCTGATATTGACACGTCTGCTGAAAAGATGTCTCCTGTATTCTGATGATTTACACGTGTTACTGATGTTGGCACAAGTCGCCGATGAAACCACGTCTCCTATGATATTGACAAGTGTGTTGATAATGAAACTTTTATTTAAACTTGACACAAGTTCATGACATTGACACATAATATTATTCTGTGTCTTTTTGATATTAATATGTTGACACGTGCCTTTTTGATATTGACAAACGCCATTAAATATTAATACTAGTCCAATAATATATTGACATTTTCTGTTTAATTGATACATGTTTCATTGCTACATCACTTGTGATATTGACAACTGTCTTCTCTTGCTGTACATTTTCTGTATCATTGATACAGGTTTCCAAATATTGCTACATCACTTGTGATATTGATATTGACAGCTGTCTTCTCGTGCCGTCACATGTCAATTATATTGACACATGACCCTGTCTTTTAATGTTGACACACATTCTGTGATATTGACACGTCTGTACCATCGTTTATTTTGACACACAACCTTGTTTTCTGATATTGACACCTGATGTTGACACCTGATATTGACACCTGATGTTGACACCTGATATTGACACCTGATGTTGACACCTGATATTGACACCTGATATTGACACCTGATGTTGACACATATTGACCTGTGATATTGACCCACGCCTTCTAATCATGACACGTTACCCATGATATTGACACGTCTTTTAAAAAAATGTTTTCTAATATTGACACGTGTTTTTAATGTTGGCACCAGTCACTGATACTACCATGTCTCCTGTGATAACGTATTCTGATCAATTAAACATTTCGGGCACAAACCTATATATTTACACCAGTTCTTGTTGACATTGACACGTATCCTGTGATATTGTCATATATCTTTTAATAACAAGTTTCCCCGATATTGACACGTCTTCTGAAAAGACACGTTCCTCTGATCCTAGACACGTCTTCTGTAAAGACACGTTTCTCTGATCCTTGACACGTCTTCTGTAAAGACACGTTCCTCTGATCCTAGACACGTCTTCTGAAAAGACACGTTCCTCTGATCCTAGACACGTCTTCTGTAAAGACACGTTCCTCTGATCCTAGACACGTCTTCTGTAAAGACACGTTCCTCTGATCCTATACACGTCTTCTGTAAAGACATGTTCCTCTGATCCTAGACACGTCTTCTGTAAAGACATGTTCCTCTGATCCTAACAGAGGTACATTGACATCTTAATTCTGATATTGACACGTGTTTAATAACTGATGTTGGGACAAGACCATAATAATACCAAATCTGTGATGTTGATATGTCTTTTGATAATGAAACATTTAAAGACATTCACACATATCTTCTTATATTGACACCAGTTCCTGACATTGACACATATATCCTGGTATATTTTCATATATTTTCTAATAATGACACGGTCCCCTGATATTTACACGTGTTCTTGTGGCACTAACACATATCCGATACTTATTTATTTTCTGATAATGAAAAATCTCTTGTCTTTTAGCATGTCTCCACCACATTTACAAGCTGTCTGATGATGATATGATACGTATGCATACATTTATTCAAATAACTTTCATTCTTTTGACTAGTCCCACTATTTACTTGCATGACTTCGTTTACAACAAAGCATTTCAACCTCAAAATAGAACATAAAACCCAGTCTACCATTGTTTATCTGTCTCTACCTGGTCATTATACACATCAAAATTGTCTAGTCAAAAGGCGTTAACTATGCGATACAATTTGCTTACACTAAACCTGACAAAATAACACACGCCTACCCAACTCGTACCCATTAACAAAATTATCCTACCCATTCATTCTTTATTACCTTCAAACCTTGTTTACTCCCTGCACCCACACTCCAACACTTAATCATATCTCGCTTATAATACAACCCCGTCATTTACGCCAAGTATATTTCTAATGTCCAGTCATAAAATTAAAGGAAGTTAAAGACTTCAATAATATTCACCAGTTTGGCTGGTTTCAAAAACTACTTACCTAACCTTTATAAAGCTTAACCCTTCTACCAAAACACTTCCCTAGTTCCATCCCCTTCCCCCAATGTCCTTACTTCTATTCACAATAACCATTTTCTTACTTTCATCACCAACGAATATTTCTTTACTTCCAACAGTAAGTCAAAAACACCATTTTAAGTGTCTACCGCATACCATTACGTTATACACAAACCGTTACATGCCATCCCATTACATCTCGATACAACTTTTCTTGTCAGTATTAAGTGATGCAAGATATGATTAAAGTTTGAGATGCCGTTGTCCATTGTTCGCTCTATGTACACACGATAATGTGACTGTATCACAATGCAACAGTGACTCCCGACCTCCTTGAACGAACACCTGTGTCAAGCCAGTGAGCTACGCATTGTTGTTTATATGTACACACGATAATGTGACAGTATCACAATGCAACAGTGACTCCCGACCTCCGTGAACGATAACCTGTGTCAGGCCGGTCAGCTACGCCTTGTTGTTACCGTTGTATGTTGATGTAATATGGTAGCCTATCTACTATTTATCATTTCCTATCTCCCATGTATCTTGTTGTCTGACCCTTCAGTCAGTCTAGAAACGTCTATGTATTGTAAGGCACCAATATACATGAGATTGGTGGTCAGCTAGTTTCTGTTGTCTGACGCTGTTACAAGATACATTACTTCTGTATAGTTTACGGCCTGTTTTCTTATATAACTACCGGACGAAATATGTAGGCGGGGAAGGTCATGGTTTCAGTCTCATGACCGAGATAAACTAAAGTGATTAAAGTTTAAAGTTCTGCTTTAAATGGGAGTCGGTGAGGAGTCTGGTTACCTCGTTGTCAGTACAATGTGACCAGATGGAATGTCATTGTTTTGACAGAGAGATGGTGCAATAAAGTATTCCTTTTGTCACTCATACTGTAAACACATCTTATTTTAGCATCATATTTTATTCAAGCCTACTCAGATTTTAGCGCTTTATCAAATTGTAACAGATTTAGCACTTTGATAAATTAGCGCATCAACAAAATATGTAAAGAAAAACAATATTTAGGAACTTCCTTTGGCGCAGTCGTTATGAAAACACAATATTGAAAGCGGCGAAAACAGCTAAAATAAAATAACCGCTAATACATGTACGTTTTCAGTAACTAAATTGTGGCGAAGACATATGACCTCAATAACCGTGATGTCTATTACATCTGTTACCCTACAACAAAGCTGGAGGCGATTTAATATGCTGTTACTAGAGAAAATACTCTAGAACTGTGATGTCCATCATTTAACCCTTCTCGGAAATTTCAAAATCTCAGGAATGAACTTTCTTGTGCTTACTCTTCAACCAGGCCTATTTAAAAATCTTATTTCCAGTTTTGACGGACATGCAGCATCATGTCAATCATTTAACTAGACTATCCGACTAGACATATTCACAGTTTAAGGTCTTGTATGTTATCCCAATAAAACACGATATACCGATATATTTGTTTGCATAAAAGCATGTATATCAAGCATTAGACCATCACACAATCAACTGAAGAGTTGTCACTGAAATAGACCTAGTAAAATACTTGTTACAGGTTTTCAGTAGACCCTCCAGAGTGTCTTTTCGACTCCCCAAATGTGTGTTGTTTCTTGGGTTTGAACAGGCATGTTTATTTAACGGATGATTTAACTCTTCAAATCTCAATAATTGCAAGGTTCTTAATTACATATTCTTAACTTCAAACCAGATTATTGAGGTGAAATTGAATTGGCAGAATTTGCAACTTTTAGAGGTAGTGTCGTACTCTGCCTGACAAAAATGTCATGATAAATTGTGAGAAAGTAGAACCACAAACGAAACAAACAAAAGTCGCGATAAATATCTAATTTATGCGAAAACTAATATAAATGTGCAATGTATTCCATCTTTGCATTTTGCTGAGTTATCTTCTCTTGTGAGCAGGTATTGATTGTGATGTCATTGGGTAGCAGTATACAAAAGAAATGGCACGACTCTGATAAACAAGGCACATGTCGAGGAAATGTAAACACAGCTGATTTACCCTACACAACACATGTATACATGTATATATATTTGTAAACTGCATTACATTTACAATACATATAAAGTACTGAGAAGTGTATAAACCTCTTTTTTCTATGTATGTCACTTGTGTGAAAACCATGGTTACCACATCAAAAATTACCAAAAAATGCCAAAAAATGCTATTTTTGACCCAAAATTTGACCGCTGATACTAGTATTTTCTTTCCTAAGTTATGTCTGAAATTTAAGATAACCTACCTGGTTGCAGAATTATCTGGGTCCCAGTAAAGTTGTAAAACTTGATTTTGCAATTTTGAGTGGTGTGCTGTTGTCAAAATTTTACCTCCTGTAAAGCTAGCTTTTCATTATGGCCAACATTTTATTCTCGAACCAAAAAATCCTGTTTTTTTTTTACAAGTGTGAAGCTCACATAGCCCGCTTCATCATGCCTATGCCAATTTTAGTACATTTTTTTTTTTTTTTTTACATATCATTATACAGGGGTTAGCCATTTAACAAAAATATCACCAATGGCAACAGCCCTCTACTGTATACTGCTACCAAGGTTTGTGTGAGAAAATTACGTTGTTTTCTCAAAAATTGATGACGTTACTTTCACACAAAAATGACGTGACAATCAATACCTGCTCACAAGAGCAGATTACTCTGCAATACGAAAAGACGGAATATGATTTACAGTAACAGACTATGTGTATAATGTAATTATTATAAGGTAAAATTAGCTTTACCTGCACATTTTAATAAAAAAAACTTTAACCAAGGTGTGATGCTTTTTAGGTATGATATTGAATTAGATATTTTAATAGATTTTTGGATAAGTTTACTTCTGATTTTTTAAAATTAAACTTTCAAAAATTCTGTCCGCTTTTAATCATGTCAAAAGCTGAAAGCCAAGTTTGTGATATTAAAGCCCCCACAAATTTTGATACTTGAAGCACGTCACACAATACATGCAAATTACTTCATTTTTTGTAATGAAGACTTCCTAAATATTAACGTATTGCAGAATATTTCTTATCCTAATCATGTTGTCCTACCACTGTTGTATATTAAGCAGTAGCCATTTTGCAAATTTGCATCACAAATCATGATCGTAACGTGGCGAAGCACCATTATCATTGTCCGCGAACCATCGTTACCACATCAGCAACTTAACTGACATAGCGACGCGCATTTCGCTGTTTAAAAAACGTTTGATTTCAATGGGGGCAAACATTTTAACAAACATCCACCTATTTCAACGATTAATGAATGGGTACATAGAGCATACACTACTATTGAGAAATACGTCATTCCATGTTCTGATACAGAGCTACAGAGTAAAAGCACTGTTTTATTAAATGCGGAATATGAATATAACTCTATATGCAATTTTATATGTTATATAGATGGACATTTTGCATTACAGTTTAATATATTTTTTAAATAATTGTTGTTTCAGAGACCCCACCATACCGATGTCACGTGTGTCGACAATACTTCGATCGTTCGTTTGAGTACTCCACACATCTGAGGACGCATGCACGCTTACTCCAAGCCGACATCTTTCTGTTATGCTTTATATGTGGAGCCAAGTTTAAGGATGCCGTTGAAGTATCTACGCATCTAGAAACTCACGAGCATGACGAAGTCCCCCGATGTGGGGTTTGTAGCGAACCATATAACCATTTCACTCGGCTACATACAGGACCTAAACCCTTTAAGTGTAGTATGTGTCTGAAGATGTACCAGAAGAGTACAGATTTTCACTTCCACCTAAACACGCATTCGGGCGACCTGCCCAATAAGTGTAATATTTGTGAAAAGGGTTTCTCACGGAAAGACCGGCTTCGCTTACACAAAGAAAATGAACATGGAATTAAAACTTATAAGTGCGAACAATGTAAAAAGTACTTCGAAGGTGAGTCGGCGTTTGAAAAACACAAAAAGAACCATAACGAATTGGTTTATGTCCAGTGTGATGTATGTAACAATGTATTCAATGATACTAAAAGTCTAGGGAAACACCGGTCGTTTCACAATTGTTATGACCACTTCACATGTAAATTCTGTGGCAGCAAATTCAACAACTTTGATATGGTAAAAGAACACGTCAGGAAACACTTCTCTGAGCCGTCACATGCATGCAATATTTGCAAGCGTAGGTTTTTATCTGTGGACCAACTCACCGTTCATAGGAAAACACATTATAAGAAAATGTCGGAAAAAAGTTTGTCTAAAGAAAGTGGCGCTGTCTTATCCACAGAAAGGGATAGAAGCGAAAATCACAAGAAGACATATCTTGGTCCAAAACTGCCTTTTAAGTGTGGGCAATGCCCAAAAAGCTTCTATAATGCAAAAGCCTGCCAGCGGCACGAAAAGTCGATACACCGAGATGCTCGTCACACATGTAAACTATGCGGACTAGAGTTTAGTCGCCCCGAGAACCTCAAGGCTCATGTAACAAATATACATGCTGGTGAAATTTCAGCTCATAAGTGTACTTTTTGTTGGATCAGGTTTAAAAACGCAATTGAACTAAATAATCATAAAACAAAACACCACCCAGTCATGTCAGAAGGACCAGTGGCAGTCCTTACCTCTTCAAGCAATGGCAAAATAACTAAAAAACCTGCATCGGCGAATTGGTCATTCTCGGGCAGCAATAGAGATGGACAAAAGGTTCCAGACGCGGTGAAACATGAGAAACTTCGAAAACATGTGCACCCAAGTGGCTCTACCTCTGTCGTGTCAATATCGGGTATTTATAGAGGCAATAACTTCAATGTCAACACTGCGGATGATACTGTCGGAGGTGGAAAGGAACAAGGCGAATTGGACCGCAGTAGTATACAAAATATTGCCAGTGTATGTGTATGTCGATTTTGTGGGAAGTGTTTCTCTGTACGACACTATTGCCGTCTTCACAGGAAGAGACACAAAGAATCCGAAATTGTCGAAAAGTGTTCCAAGTGTCTAAAAGCCTTCGGACAACACGATCAGTTCACACGTCATCGCTGTACAGAGGGTAAGATAGAGCCTTATGAATGCGATATCTGTGATGAAACTTTCACCAGTTCGTTCCTGTTGTTGCGACATCGGATCATACATAAAGGTCCAATGCACAAATGTGACAAGTGCAAAAGGATGTTTACAAGGAAGTTCAACTTAGATAGACACAAGGCTGGAAGCCATGCCTGGATATCGGAATTCAAGTGCATGCTGTGTCACAGGAATTTCTATAGTAAACAGGCCCATTTTCTACATATTAAAACACACGCGAGAACAAATAGGTGCACAGTGTGTAACCTGGCGTTTCGGTCTTCGGGCAAGTTCGACAAACACATGCAGGATCACCACAAGGTCGGAAACATGTACAAGTGTCAAACATGTGAAGTTGAGTTTCCATCCGTACAGAGTTACCAGGTTCATCAACTCACACATATGACAAAGGCTCTATATATTTGTGACATATGTGGTAAGAAATTCAGAGACAGAAAGCAGTTTGTCTGCCATCGGAAAACACACTGGGGCACTAAACTGCTGGATATCGCATGTAGCTGGTGTGGCATGAAATATACTGCCATATCAAGTCTGCGTAGACACAGGCAGCGGAACATGTGTTGGAGGGGGAGATCATTCCCGTGTGTCATTTGCGGAGATCAGTTCCAGCGTCTAGACCTACTCCTGACGCATACCAAAATGCACATCAACTCTTCTAAAGTAGTCCCCGTGCAGTCGGATAGCAACGAGTCTGTTGTAAATTGGAATAGCAATGAGGATGTTGATGATGATATATTTGAGAACATTATTGATCAAGACAATGAAGCTCAGGTTTCAAATACAGGAGAAACAGCAATGATGAGACAAAACAGCCAATGTAACGATGATACTTTGGCTGATTCGGAGTTCTTGAATGAAGAAGACGTTTTGCTGGACGATGACCTTCTGGGGTCTGACTTCCCGGGACAAAGTCCGACTAGCAGCGTCACGTTTAGCTGTGGAGAGTGTAACAGTGAATTTTCCACCCTCCAACACCTTCAACGTCATATTGACGCCCACAATACAAAGTCTCAGATTGCCAACGCAGAACTGTCATTTACTCATTCTCCTGATATAGAACCACACGAAAGTAACCCAGAATCACTAGAGCATGATACGGAATCCCAGGCATGTGAAACTGGCTGTCAACCACATCCACATGAACAGGACACAGACCCCCATAATCCATCAGTAAAACACAACATCGGCATTCACAACGATCTCGAACAGGTGCTGATATCTTCAGTTAGTAAAGATATTCCAAGAGACGGAGATAAACTTCATTCAGGTCTTTATAAGTGTGGACTTTGCGAAGACACGTTCCAGGATATTGTTGACTTGAATGACCATATTTCCAAACATGCAGATGATCAGAATTTGTATAAATGTGACATATGTGGGAATGTGCTCCATTCGATACTTTCCTTCCACAATCACTGTGTCAGTCACGTTGCTAGTGACAAGGCTCCTGGATCTAAAACTGAGAACACGCCGACAACGCCACAACGTGTTAATGTATTTCAAATGGCGTTTTTAACGTCATCACCAGAGAGTGATAGTGACTCGTGTACAGCTGAAGGTGGAATATCGACGATTAATACTTTGAGCATGAAAAGTAAAGATAATAATATTCTAGAACAGAATTTTGAGAATATTTCGAAACCAGCCAAAGAAGAACGCCTTGGTATATTTGACCTTTTAAAGCTTGATAACGTTCGTATAAACACAAAGGATGTGTCTCGAGATGTCTTGAAATGCAATATATGTGCGAAAACATTTGATTCTGAATTTGAACATCAGCGTCATAAGAAACAACACACCAGTGAAAAAGAGACACAAGTGGATGAACATAATGCATGTAGTCAGACGAATGCACATGTATCGCCCCGTAACAATACTAGGCCAAATGACACACTTCAGAATGGTTGTGCGGTAACTTCGATTAAGTTATACAAATGTGGCAGATGCGGCCTCTCGTTTTGTGTACCATCGGAACTTATGGGTCATTCTAGGGTGCATTTGTTGACGGACAGGTCTGCTACATGTTCAGCGGACAGCGAGTCACCACTGAATTCGATCAGTCCTACCACTAGTGGCAAGGAGGCCCTAGCACCAGAAACGCCGCTACTTTCTACTACTAGTAATCCCCATGTCGTTTCACCGGGCACGACAACGCATACTTGTGGTGCTTGCGCAGGTGTGTACCTATCAGAGGATGCGCTGTATTCCCATTGTCATACTCATGTCACATCACCGACAGTCAATATCTGCAGATTGCGTATACTTGATAGTAACATTTCAGGATCAGTTCTACTGGAGGACCTTCCTTCTGGTGTATACACTCCGATGACAAACACACAAACAGCGACACAAGTTGAGAACACCAGAAATGAATCTCATGAGATATTCAATTCGGATGTAGAAAAAAATAATCATCACATCGCACAAAAGACGAATGAAAACAACAAAACTCTTGTTCGATTATTAAATTGTAAGCTTCAGTATACATCTACTTCTGGTCTTAAGATCCCCAGGATGAATGTAAATACAAATCTAATATCATCTTCGATATCAAAGCCCTCTGTATCTAAAGATGATAGAATAATGACATTGCCAAATCGCGTTGGTTCAAACGACGCATCCAGTGAAAGCGACAATTCCTCTAGGACTCTGAAATCACTGTTTAAGTGTAGAATTTGTTCTCGTCTGTTTGGTTCTGCACATGGGCTGGACGTGCATCATAGGAGCATGCATCCCACTGACCATAGAAAAGAGGGATTGCTCGTACAAGCTCAACATTACAACTGTACAGATTGCCACAAAGTATTTCGAACATCTCGTTCGCTACATTTACACGAGACAAAGTTTCATTCGAAGTTTAAGGGTCTGTATAAATGTACTACATGTGGGATGGAATTTATGAGTGCTTCACTACGCAGCGCTCATAACTCCATCCACACCAATTGTGGTGATAAGACCGCGTCAGAGGACAGCCCGTTCAAGTGTCTGCTTTGTGATAGAGTTTTCGGAACAATCTACGGTATCCGTTTACATAGCAATTATCATACCGGGGAGGAACGCACTAGTCATTTGTCAACTGCTCATCGCTACCGGTGTGTTATATGCAGAATGTCTTTCTACACAGTTCATCAGCTCCATTCTCACGTCAATAAAACCCACAGCAATATTGGTCATGAGTCTAAGCAGCAATCACAGACAAGCGACAGTGGAGATATAACTTACAAAAGTAAACACGAGACTGTATTAAATTTAAATACCAAGACTGCATGCATGGAAGACAAAAATAGTCCTATTTCTCAACGTGATCGGCAAGGGATTCGATCTAACGAGAGCAGCACTGGAAGAGAGGTAGATGAGGACAACATGGTATCGAGTTGGCCATCACCACCCGGTCACACCTCGTTATCTTCATCATCAGAAACATTGTCAGCTTCAGTAACAGGCCCCCGGGACAGGCCATGCAAATGTCTGGTGTGTAACAGAGTATTCCAGTCTTCGTTCGAACTAGGTAAAAATTGTAGGCAATGTGAAGACTCCAACCTTCCTTTCCCTTACAAATGTTTGACGTGTCAACGCATGTTTAGAACAATCAGAGGAATTAGGATTCACATGTTAGCGCATCCTAGGTATGCTCCTGAGAAATCGCAAAAACGACTGTTTACTGACGACACAGTCAATAGGGAAAGTTCTTCACCAAAGGTTCCAAAATTGGCAACGGAGCTAAATGGCGTACACAAGTCTTCTTATCATTGTTTGATATGCGTCCGGGAATTTTCCTCCAGTCAGGAGTTTAGGATTCACATGCAAATGCATCCAGACAACTCTACACGTGAGACAATTCGTCAACCATCGTGTACTTCACCTAACGCAAACAGGAACAATGAAACCCCACTACTGAATTCCTTACAGGATAGTGTCAATCCTGCTGTTATCTTGAGGACTGGAACGATGAGGTACAAGTGTCGTCTTTGTCCTCGACTCTTCCTCTCTACTACAAACATGCTTCGCCATCTGAAGACACACTCACAAAAGTACCAGTGTGACATGTGTGGTGATGTGTTTAGTGATGTTTGGACTTACCAGGCACACAGGAGTGCACACAAAGTCACATCGTCACATATGTGTCATCCCTGTAAAAAGGAGTTCCCGACCCTGAGTAGTCTGGTGCGTCACAGGAAAGCACATACCGGGAAGTCCCTCCCCTATCGATGTGATATATACAATGACGAGTACTCAGCCATAGAGGAACTGACAAAACACTGTATAACTCATAAAGAAGATGTACAGGATGGCTCGGATGTCGACGACGACATCGTTCCAAATTCAAATACTGATGACGAAAAGAGGATACTAGGAAAAGAACGTGATGAAAATGAACGACACGAAAATTTAAATTCGGACTCCAGCTTTACTGAAACGTCTGTCTTGCCTAACAAAGAAACTGAAAATAAAGATATAGAAACTGATAAACAACATGTAAATATTGTCGATAAAAGCATCCAAAGTGACAGCGAATTGCTGGCATATGCGAAACCTACGTCAGTTGCGGAAAAACAACATTTTACGGCTGATGTAGAAAATAAAGAGACAAGCGATAATGTACAGGAACAGGAAAACGAAAATGGATCGAATGAACAGATAGGTGTACGTGTATACAAATGCGATATTTGTAAACAGAGCTTCAAAAGTCTTCAGGAAATCGGTGAACACTGTAGATCGCACATGAAAACAGAAAACACGGATATAAAATCTCGGGCGGATGCTGACTTGTTCAAATCTATGAAAGTGTTGGAAAAGAATTTGTACAGATGTAACATATGTGACCAAGAATATCTGGCCTTGTTCAGTTTACAGCGTCATTACAAGCTCCACGAGGGCGAGATGATGTACATATGTCATGTCTGTGATAAGACATTCCAGCAGCCTGCCGGCCTCCGGCAACATTTGTTAACGCACAACCAGGACGCAATGTTTAAATGCCGTGTGTGTGGTCAGAAATACAGCAATATAGGGACATTCAAAACCCATAAGAATACACACAGTTATGGCACGACTGACAATTGTGTTATATGTTGTAAAGATTTTGCAGGACGTAAAGCCTTTTTAGATCACAAAATACAGTGCGAAAAGGATAGGAAATGTGTGTGTGACATATGCGGGAAGGGATTCACGCGCACAAACCTACTGACGGAACATAGGAAAATACACAAGGATACACGGCCATACCGTTGTTATGATTGCGGCAACCGATACACATGCATGAAAAACCTGAAACGACACATGGAAACGGCCCACAACCGAAACATTTCCCTGGATAAAATAATGAAAATGACAAATGGTAAAAACAATACGAAGGCTTCCTTGAACAAGGAATCTAACAGAGACACGGGACCGGAATATGAAGACAAGATTGGGGCATGTACATCCGGGGCTCGGGCACCGACAACGACCGTGAGTGGGACCATCGATGACCTTCCGCACAAGTGCGTACAGTGTAACATGCACTTCCCATCTCTTGAGTGTCTTCGCAGACACACAGTTGTTCACTTGAGGGAAAATAACGCACACACGTGCGATGGGTGTGGTAAGGATTTTTCCACCACAGAAGAGCTGAATTGTCACAACAAGATCCACCATGGCAATAAGTACGATATGTTTGAAACCGATTTAAAATTACACGAAAAGGAAGGCATTGGCATTGCATGTTCAGTATGTGGGAAATATTTCCAGGAGAAAAAACTGCTCCATAAACATGTTGAGACTATGCACGCTGCAAAGTATACCATCACTAACCAGTGCTGTGTGTGCGGGATTATGTACAAACAATCCAGCGACCTGGAAAAGCATTTGTGGATCGTTCATCGTGAGAGACAAGTCACGTGTGATATCTGTCAGGGTAGGTTCGGCAACAAAGACGCCCTCAACCGGCACGTGCTGCAGAAGCATGACACTAAGTCCCACAAATGTCCGGAGTGTCCTACTGCATTTTCCACGCCAGATAGGCTGCAGCGACACATAGCGGTTGTACATCCTCAGCAGCCGTATGCTTGCTCAATTTGTGACATACAATTTCAGTCCATGTCGGAAAAACAACGTCATATGAGTTCGACACATGCACAACGTGTCAATGCACGTGTCAAATCGGTACAATGGGCAACTAAACTGTCCTCTCGTATGGCCAAAAATGTAGTAGAGTCTACCATAGTGCCACAGGTAAATGTCCCAGACATTAAACACAACCAGTTTACCAACGTGCCTCGAGTAAATATACCCGACGTTAAACGCAATCGTCTGTGGGCATGTAAGATATGCAGGAAAACCTTCACGTTTGTTCCCGACCGTCAAAGGCACATGGTAGAAATGCATGGGTCTACATCCTACAAGAAAACCTGTTCTACATGCGGGCTGATGTTTGCCACTAAATCACGGCTCAAGAAGCATGAAACGTTACACACAGGGGAGAAGCCATTTCCCTGCCACATTTGTCACAACGTATTTCGAACACGGGCCGGACTGTCAGTCCACTTACAGTACCACACGGGGGAGCGACAGTACAGCTGTACCGTATGTAACAAAAGCTTTCTTATGAAGAACCATCTTAAATTACACACCATGGGCGCCCATCCAGGAATGCGTGATGACGCGTCTGAAACAGAAAGTGATTAGCTACCTATACACTAGTTTTGTACGTTTATTGAAGCGGATCTCAGACGAAACCTGTTCTTCTTAACACAGGATTGTACTTAAAACTTAAATATTTTTAATATAGTGGTATAAGAACGAAACAGATGTATGATGCAGTGTTACTCAGTTTGTACTTGCTGTATCTGTAACAATTTTAAATGTGCAATCACCTGTTTCTTTGCGTTGCGTTCTTCTTCGCTTTTAGGTCCTCCATTTGACAATGAGTTCATAATCTAAATTGAAAATGTGTATTTGACAATATTTAAATTAGGCTACTTGATAAGCTTGCGTGATCTTATCGATAAAATTCCAACACTATTTAAACATTATTGCCATCATTGTTACAGGCATAAGACAATGAGGTCTAGGAAATGTTTGTCAGGGAAACAATATCATAACGGTCAAATTGTCAGTGACCACCTCACTTCAGAAAGGTTTGAAGGGATTATAATAGAATGCATTATACATTATTGCTTATGGGCGCAATCATGATCTAATAAGGAAATATGATATTTCTTTATATGAAATGAAGGTCGATAGATTTTTGCGTATGCTCATTAGTGTGCCTTGTCAGTACCAGAGTTCTCGGTGTGAAGAAGTGACATTTTATTTTAACTTTACCGGGATCGACGAAGCAAAGGAATCTTACCCTTCCGAAACACTTGGTCTTATTATTATTACGTTTTCAGTGCTCTGCTTGTAAATTTGTGTTTTGTTCATGTTTTGTTCTTGTTTTGCCATTGTTTTATCGATTTTGACTTCGAATTATGTTTTTTTTTGTCATTTCGGTATTCTGTTTTTATTATTATCATATCCAGAACATCTGTCTATATCTGGAATGAATTAACTACTCACTTATAATACTGTCATTTATATCTATTGTACATGTTTGTGTTTGCGAAGACAATGGATCACAAATTAAATACAGTTAAGGAAAAGTCAAAAATGTAATAAATTCATATTTATATCACTTAACCAAAATAGGTAGGCGTGCTATGACCTGATGTTTTATTTGTCATTTCCTGAAAGCTGACTAGCTCTGACAGCTAATTGACAGATCTACAATAGCGGTGAATGTGTCCAATGTAATCCTTAGTCACTGTGTTCATGAAGTGTACATAAGCTAATATACATTATATTTCCGTTTGTGTAACTGATCCATTGTTTACAGAAGGGTTGCTAATGTAGAGTTTATTTGTTATTGTATCTGGATTTATACTGCGTGCAGTAGTATTGAATGAGTACAGTGCATGTTGGCTGTAAACATTATTTCACCAATTGACAATAGTTCTAAATAGTACTTTCCCGCGGTGTGAGTGTATAATAATGTCGGCAGCAGTAAACGTTATTTCACCAATTGACAATAGTTATACTTAGTACTTTCCCGCGGTGTGAGTGTATAATAATGTCGGCAGCAGTAAACGTTATTTCACCAATTGACAATAGTTATACATAGTACTTTCCCGCGGTGTGAGTGTATAATAATGTCGGCAGCAGTAAACGTTATTTCACCAATTGACAATAGTTATACATAGTACTTTCCCGCGGTGTGAGTGTATAATAATGTCGGCAGCAGTAAACGTTATTTCACCAATTGACAATAGTTATACATAGTACTTTCCCGCGGTGTGAGTGTATAATAATGTCGGCAGCAGTAAACGTTATTTCACCAATTGACAATAGTTATACATAGTACTTTCCCGCGGTGTGAGTGTATAATAATGTCGGCAGCAGTAAACGTTATTTCACCAATTGACAATAGTTATACATAGTACTTTCCCGCGGTGTGAGTGTATAATAATGTCGGCAGCAGTAAACGTTATTTCACCAATTGACAATAGTTATACATAGTACTTTCCCGCGGTGTGAGTGTATAATAATGTCGGCAGCAGTAAACGTTATTTCACCAATTGACAATAGTTATACATAGTACTTTCCCGCGGTGTGAGTGTATAATAATGTCGGCAGCAGTAAACGTTATTTCACCAATTGACAATAGTTATACATAGTACTTTCCCGCGGTGTGAGTGTATAATAATGTCGGCAGCAGTAAACGTTATTTCACCAATTGACAATAGTTATACATAGTACTTTCCCGCGGTGTGAGTGTATAATAATGTCGGCAGCAGTAAACGTTATTTCACCAATTGACAATAGTTATACATAGTACTTTCCCGCGGTGTGAGTGTATAATAATGTCGGCAGCAGTAAACGTTATTTCACCAATTGACAATAGTTATACATAGTACTTTCCCGCGGTGTGAGTGTATAATAATGTCGGCAGCAGTAAACGTTATTTCACCAATTGACAATAGTTATACATAGTACTTTCCCGCGGTGTGAGTGTATAATAATGTCGGCAGCAGTAAACGTTATTTCACCAATTGACAATAGTTATACATAGTACTTTCCCGCGGTGTGAGTGTATAATAATGTCGGCAGCAGTAAACGTTATTTCACCAATTGACAATAGTTATACATAGTACTTTCCCGCGGTGTGAGTGTATAATAATGTCGGCAGCAGTAAACGTTATTTCACCAATTGACAATAGTTATACATAGTACTTTCCCGCGGTGTGAGTGTATAATAATGTCGGCAGCAGTAAACGTTATTTCACCAATTGACAATAGTTATACATAGTACTTTCCCGCGGTGTGAGTGTATAATAATGTCGGCAGCAGTAAACGTTATTTCACCAATTGACAATAGTTATACATAGTACTTTCCCGCGGTGTGAGTGTATAATAATGTCGGCAGCAGTAAACGTTATTTCACCAATTGACAATAGTTATACATAGTACTTTCCCGCGGTGTGAGTGTATAATAATGTCGGCAGCAGTAAACGTTATTTCACCAATTGACAATAGTTATACATAGTACTTTCCCGCGGTGTGAGTGTATAATAATGTCGGCAGCAGTAAACGTTATTTCACCAATTGACAATAGTTATACATAGTACTTTCCCGCGGTGTGAGTGTATAATAATGTCGGCAGCAGTAAACGTTATTTCACCAATTGACAATAGTTATACATAGTACTTTCCCGCGGTGTGAGTGTATAATAATGTCGGCAGCAGTAAACGTTATTTCACCAATTGACAATAGTTATACATAGTACTTTCCCGCGGTGTGAGTGTATAATAATGTCGGCAGCAGTAAACGTTATTTCACCAATTGACAATAGTTATACATAGTACTTTCCCGCGGTGTGAGTGTATAATAATGTCGGCAGCAGTAAACGTTATTTCACCAATTGACAATAGTTATACATAGTACTTTCCCGCGGTGTGAGTGTATAATAATGTCGGCAGCAGTAAACGTTATTTCACCAATTGACAATAGTTATACATAGTACTTTCCCGCGGTGTGAGTGTATAATAATGTCGGCAGCAGTAAACGTTATTTCACCAATTGACAATAGTTATACATAGTACTTTCCCGCGGTGTGAGTGTATAATAATGTCGGCAGCAGTAAACGTTATTTCACCAATTGACAATAGTTATACATAGTACTTTCCCGCGGTGTGAGTGTATAATAATGTCGGCAGCAGTAAACGTTATTTCACCAATTGACAATAGTTATACATAGTACTTTCCCGCGGTGTGAGTGTATAATAATGTCGGCAGCAGTAAACGTTATTTCACCAATTGACAATAGTTATACATAGTACTTTCCCGCGGTGTGAGTGTATAATAATGTCGGCAGCAGTAAACGTTATTTCACCAATTGACAATAGTTATACATAGTACTTTCCCGCGGTGTGAGTGTATAATAATGTCGGCAGCAGTAAACGTTATTTCACCAATTGACAATAGTTATACATAGTACTTTCCCGCGGTGTGAGTGTATAATAATGTCGGCAGCAGTAAACGTTATTTCACCAATTGACAATAGTTATACATAGTACTTTCCCGCGGTGTGAGTGTATAATAATGTCGGCAGCAGTAAACGTTATTTCACCAATTGACAATAGTTATACATAGTACTTTCCCGCGGTGTGAGTGTATAATAATGTCGGCAGCAGTAAACGTTATTTCACCAATTGACAATAGTTATACATAGTACTTTCCCGCGGTGTGAGTGTATAATAATGTCGGCAGCAGTAAACGTTATTTCACCAATTGACAATAGTTATACATAGTACTTTCCCGCGGTGTGAGTGTATAATAATGTCGGCAGCAGTAAACGTTATTTCACCAATTGACAATAGTTATACATAGTACTTTCCCGCGGTGTGAGTGTATAATAATGTCGGCAGCAGTAAACGTTATTTCACCAATTGACAATAGTTATACATAGTACTTTCCCGCGGTGTGAGTGTATAATAATGTCGGCAGCAGTAAACGTTATTTCACCAATTGACAATAGTTATACATAGTACTTTCCCGCGGTGTGAGTGTATAATAATGTCGGCAGCAGTAAACGTTATTTCACCAATTGACAATAGTTATACATAGTACTTTCCCGCGGTGTGAGTGTATAATAATGTCGGCAGCAGTAAACGTTATTTCACCAATTGACAATAGTTATACATAGTACTTTCCCGCGGTGTGAGTGTATAATAATGTCGGCAGCAGTAAACGTTATTTCACCAATTGACAATAGTTATACATAGTACTTTCCCGCGGTGTGAGTGTATAATAATGTCGGCAGCAGTAAACGTTATTTCACCAATTGACAATAGTTATACATAGTACTTTCCCGCGGTGTGAGTGTATAATAATNGCGTTGCAGCATCTATTGTGTCACATGAGTTTATTACCTTTTGTTTAAATGATTATGACAATCTTTCATAATAGCGAATACGTACTTCGTCATTTCTACTTTAAACATTTTGTATTTGCTTCCTACAATAGTTGATAGTGTTTGTGTAACATATAGCATATTTGAACTAAATCTTGAATAATAAGCGTAGTTGAAGTTCTGTTAGATACACAGATTTCGAAAAAGTAAATATAAACATAAAAACTGCGTCACTTGAAGTGTCTGCTGTAGTTGTGAGTTTGTACACTACAAAAGGGGAAATATTAAGAGTTTATTACATTTACAATAATTCTGCAATACTAGTGAATATGTAACAAAAGTTGCTCTTATTGGTTTATATGTAGAGTGCATTGCCGTTTGCATAAATGATGCATACAACCTTAAGTGATAGTAAATATGTACAAAGTAAATCATAATGCATCAATAATGAATGTGTAATATATTACTTGTTGTAGGACTTACGTAACCGATTGTCATTATGGTGTGACCGGATGTAATGAAATGATGTTCTCTCCAAGTTATAACATTTCGTTAAGATAGCACTCCAAAGTGGATCCTTCATCCGTGGTCCTCTCCTCCGTTTGACCTTGGCCTTTTCGAGGACTAAAACCTTAAACAATATAAAAGAGTGATGATTGTGTAGATTGTATTTAGTACGTTGGTACGTTGTATTGAGTGGCTATACTGGCGATTATTTGTATAGATTTGTGAAGAGTTTTGTGTCAATGCATACGACACGTGTGAAATGTTTCATTTGATTTCGGATCTAAGTAGATGTCTTCACTCGGATGGAACGAACGTTTCAGTAATAAATGGAGGTAAGAACAAGGATCATGATTCGATCGCAGATTAGAACATGGTCCGTATCCAATCAAAACACGCGTTGCAAACAAATCGTGTTAGAATGGCTATTTTATATGTATTCTGTGAACAATTATTTATTTTTAAAATCCAAGAGTTCCGAATACGATACATATATGTTCTCTTCGCCCATTGATGATATCACGACAAACCAAAGGCTGTCAATAAGGTAAATTGTTGGTTTCCGGTGGGCAAATCTCATTTGGAGGTCGAAGTTAATACTGGACGTTTATGGAATTTACCGTCGAAAGTTTGCCATAGTGAAATGTTCTCTTATACATTATGTCTGAAAACTGGTGCCAGCATTAGTAGTAAAATTATTGTGTATGTATTACACTATCAACTGTATAAATGTTGAACATATATATGCAGACTGATTTAGACAATTGCTTTTCAGGTCCGAAGGTCATGGGTCAAGGTCAAATTGTAGTGCATTTTGAATACCTACTGTACGGAAGATGAACAGCGTATAAAGTATTAGTGTATAGTAATAATAGTGTATTTTCTACTGCATTGATGTTTTATACGGACTGGTGTTGACCATAGAAGTGGGAAAATGTTTAGTGCATTACCATAACGGTATATATTATCAACTGTATACAAAGTATTAGTATATAAACTTGATCTGTGTATGCAGTATCTACTGTATAAATGTTTAGTGCATTACCATAACGGTATATATTATCAACTGTATACAAAGTATTAGTATATAAACATGATCTATGTATGCAGTATCTACTGTATAAATGTTTAATGCATTACCATAACGGTATATATTATCAACTATACACAAAGTATTAGTATATAAACATGATCTGTGTATGCTGTATCTACTGTATAAATGTTGAACATATGTATTCAGACTGATTTCGACAACAGTTGCACAATGTGTAGTGCATTACTTATACCTACTGTAAAAAGGAACAGTGTACAAAGTATAAGTGTATAGTTATAAAGTTTGTATTAAAGTATATTTCCTACTGTATAAATGTTTTATACAGACCGGTGTTGATAATAGTAGCAAGTGTTTAGTGTTTTTCCTACAGTATAAATGATTTACTGTGTTAATGAATATCAATGAATGTGTATTAAAGTGTATTGCCTTATGTATAAATGTTTGTTATTGACCGATGTTGACAAAAAAATGTGTTGTGCTGTATCTGCAGTATAACTCGTTTACAATGTGGATAGTTTTAGTTTATAGCAATGAGTGTGAATCAAGGTGTATTACCTACCGTATAACTGTTTAACGCTGGCTGGTTAAGACAAAAGTAGTGTATTTTCTGTAGCATAACTGATCTAAAATGTGGATAGTTTTAGTTTATAGCAATGAGTGTGTATGATAGTGTCTTTCCTTCTGTATAAATGTTTTATTCTAAATAATATCTAAAATAGTAACAAATGTGTAGTGTACTCTCTGCAGTATAAATGACTTAAAATTTGTAAAGTATTAATTTACAGTAATAAAGTGTGTAATGTTTCATTCTGACTGGTGTTGACAAAAGTAGCTTATGTGTAGTCCTGTATCTATCGTATATATGACTAACAGTGTAGTAAGTTCAAGTGTTTTGTAATGCGTAATAGTGTGTATTTCCTTCTGTATAATTGATTTACCGTGTAAAAAGTTTTAGTTTATAGTGATAAAGTGTGTAGTATAGTGCATTTCCTTCTGTATAAATGTTTTATTCTAAATGATATTTATAATAGTAGCAAATGCGTAGTGTGCTCTCTGCAGTATAAATTACTTAAAATTTGTAAAGTATTAGTTTACAGTAATAAAGTGTAATGTTTCATTCTGACTGGTGTTGACAAAAGTAGCTTATGTGTATTGCTGTATCTATCGTATATATGACTAACAATGAAGTATGTGAAAGTTTTTGGTTATGTGTAATAGTGCGCATTTCCAACTGTATAATTGATTTACCGTGTAAAAGGTTTTAGTTTTTAGTGATAAAGTGTGTAGTGTAGTGCATTTCCTTCTGTATAAATGTTTTATTCTAAATGATATCTACAATAGTAGCAAATGTGTAGTGTACTCTCTGCAGTATAAATGACTTAAAATTTGTAAAGTATTAGTTTACAGTAATAAAGTGTGTAATGTTTCATTCTGACTGGTGTTGACAAAAGTAGCTTATGTGTAGTGCTGTATATATCGTATATATGACTAACAATGAAGTATGTTCAAGTGTTTTGTAATGTGTACTAATTTGCATTTCCTTCTGTATAATCTTCAGTATAAATGACTTAAAATTTGTAAAGTATTAGTTTACAGTAATAAAGTGTGTAATAAAGTGGACTGCCTTCTGTGTATTGCCTACTGTATAAATGTTTCATTCTGAATGGTTTTAACCAAAGTAGCTTATGTGTAGTGCTGTATCTATCGTATATATGACTATCAGTGTAGTAAGTATAAGTGTTTGGTAATGTGTAATAGTGTGCATTTCCTACTGTATAATTGATTGAACGTGATTTTTTTTAGTTTATAATGATAAAGCGTGTGGTATAGTGCGTTTCCTTCTGCATAAATGATTTACCGTGTAAAAGGTTTTAGTTTATACTAATAAAGTGTGTAGTATAGTTCATTTCCTTCTGTATAAATGATTTACCGTGTAAAAAGTTTTAGTTTATAGTGATAAAGCGTGCAGTAGTGCATTTCCTACTGTATAATTGATTTAACGTGTAAAAAGTTTTAGTTTATTGTGATAAAGCGTGTAGTATAGTGCATCCCTCCTGTATAAATGATTTAACGTGTAAAAAGTTTTAGTTTATACTGATAAAGTGTGTAGTATAAGTGCATTTCCTTCTGTATAAATTATTTACCGTGTAAAAGGTTTTAGTTTATACTGATAAAGTGTGTAGTATAGTGCATTTCATACTGTATAAATGTTGCATATATGTATTTAGACTGATGTCGTCAATAGCAGCAACATGTGTACTACATTTCCTACAGTTCAAGTGCTATATACTCTCTTCTCTGTGGTTTCATGACATCTTGTAACAGAGAAGTCCGTCGAGAATGTCGTCCTCCAATGATTTCACACCGGTCATGCATACACATATTGTACGCATGCGAGGGAATCAACCATTAAGTTTCTTTTTAAACTACTTTATTTAACAATAACAATTAACAAGTGTTATAGAAAAAAGTTCTTTTAGTTTAATTAGATGTGTAAAAGTGTCTTAGAATATTGGTATCTGTTCAGATATGATTGTTGAGGGGTTGTTAAGCTATGTACTGTGTTCTACGATAGCAGTGCGTTTGTAGTTTGTTACATATTATATGAATGATGCAGTGGCGGGGGCCGGGGTGT